CTGCCCCCCTCCCCGCCCTGTCGCCACTGTCTGCACCCACTTAAAACGATGTTGAATTGACCAAGCTTGCCCAGAAGGCAATCAAGCACTTCGAGTCCTACATCTCTCAGCGCTCCTCCCTCTCCCGAAACGACGTCGCATCCTTCATCTCCCCCTCTTGGTGCACTCCCTGGGAAAACTCCCTCTTCTGGATCGCGGGCTGTCGCCCCTCCGCCTCATCTACGCCCTCGACGGCGCCGACATCGAGTCCAAGCTTTCTGAAATTCTCCGAGGTAAGACCGCAGGCGATATCGGTGACCTCTCAGCACGGCAGATGCGGGCGGTGGACGAGCTGCAGCGGCGGACGATTTGGGAAGAGGAAAGGCTGACTGCGAGGCTGGTGGAGCTACAGGAGGACGTGGCGGATCAGCCGATCTCCGCCATCGCGAAAGGCGTCGACTAGATCAGAGAAATGAGCGGAGAGATCGAGAAGGTTCTGAACGAGCACGAATGATCCATGGCTGAGGTTCTGGATTAGGCTGATAAGCTCAGGCTGAACACGCTGAAGGAGATTCTGTGGATTTTACGTCCGGTGCAAGGGGTGGATTTTCTGGCCATGAGTAAGAAGCTTCATCTCTGTGTTCATGAGTGGAGTAAGAAGAGGGATCAAAATAAGCATGACGTAGAAAATCACTAGCTAGCTTGCGTGCAATGTTTTAATTCACAACATTCTCATGCACAACCAAACATAGTAATGTAATATTTCTGGGAATTTAAAAAATATTTATGTATGGAACCAAACACAGTAATGTATTATTCCTAGAAATCATATTACCCTCCGTCACTTTCCCGGGAATATGATTCCTATTGATTCCTGCATACAAAACGCCCCCCAATAACGTAAATATTAGTGAGTTTCTAGTTAGTTAGTGGCGGCGATATGCGGTGTGATGGCTTTATTTATGTGAATTTAAATATATTTAGAGCTTAAAAGCTAAACGGATAGACTTAATTTCCAATCAAGTTTGTTATTTAGTAGCTGAGATCTTTTGGTCGGCTATCTCCCTCGAAGGCCTATTGATTGGTTGTCCTTCATCGAAGGCTTCTAATGGTAGTGGTTAAAGGTTTTTCTGTTTTTTAATGTAATTTTTGTGTTTGTAATAAGAGCTGTGGTGTCTCCACCCAACCCTCATTTATTTTGATGTATGTCGTTAGTTTTTGTGATCGACTTAAGGCTATTTGTATGTCTATGGATAATGTTGTCTTGGTCTAGTTAGAATTTTTTCTATGCCGTATACATGTCCCCTCTTTATGGGATTTAACGATCTGTTTTTCTAGCGATCGAAAGCCTATCTTAATACGAGAAGTTTCTTCAATTCGAGCTTTATATGTGCCCATTGTTAGTGTGCCGAAGTGTTCTTCCATTTTTGAACCTCATGCATGCGTACGTCGCTCTAATGAGTCAATATCATTTTTGTAAAATGACTATTTATAAGTTTTTAATTAAATGCAATTTCTCTTAAAAAAACATAAATATTAGTTAGTATAAAGATGTCTAAATTTTATTCGTCAGTATAAAGATTTTTGTCTCTAAATTAGACTCGAATCATTTTACAAGAATCCCTCTTTGGAGCAAATACAAATATATACTCTTCTAATATTTCACAGTTTGAAACCAATAGAATTTTAGAAAATTACATTGATGCCTCGTTCATTTCACGAATTTGAGTTTTCAATTCGAGCTAATATGTGAAATTTTTTAGAGTTTTTAACTGTAATAAAAAAAGTTAGATGTAATATTTTCTGAGAGTTTTTAACTGTAAAATCTTAAAATTAAAAATTTAAATCAGTGAAATAAATTATACATGAGTTTGTTTTTATTGGAAAGCATTTTAGGAGTGTTGATCATAGTAGAGTACTAGTCTAAAAATACTAAGAAAAAGGACTTATTTAGTACACTGTCATAACTTTAATATGTTGTTGAATTTTATGTCGATGCTGATTGACGAGCGAATGAATTTCAGGCATTGTTGTTTCGGAATTTCATGAAGCCATTAATTTAATGTCACCAAAATTGTTTTTTAAACAAAAAATTAATGTCACGCCAAAATTAAATGTCAAAAATTGAATATGCACAGGGTGCCAAATTTTACATTTACAGCATTAAGTGCATGCTTAGCCAAATTCAACAACGATAATGGTAAATTAAATGGTCCATGGATTAATTGTCTTGTCCTTTTGATTTCTTATTTTCTTGGTTAATTTGATCTTGGAAGATTGTGAACTAGTAATTTTGCTTAATCATCACTGAACTTATATGAAAAAATATCTCCCATTAACCTTATTATTTTCACGAGGGAAATAATTTATTAGATGACGTTAAGCACATTTCAATTCATTATTCAAAGTGGTTGCTAGACGCAGTTGGAAATTTTGCTATTCATTCTACATGCACTTGGAAATTGGAATAATTGAAATGGACCCCATAAATAATTTATATTTTATTTGGTCGACCAAATGACCTGGTATACTATGCGTTTACTCGCTTATAAAAAAATAAAAAATAAAAAAATATTTTAGAAAAAGAAATCAAGTTGTTAGAAGACCATGTGAGTGAGAAATTGAAAGCGACATTCAATCTTATTGGATTTTAACAAAAGCTCCAACGGTGCTTCCAATGTTCCATCAAAACCGACGAAATTATCAACCCAATTACAAAAAAAAAAAAAAAAACAAAAAACAAAAAACAAAAATCAAAAATTTTAGGCCTCATTAGAGTTAAAAGCTCGAGTTACAAGTGAATTTATATAAAAAAAAATAATGTAACAAAAAAAATAAATTTTAAATTTTTATAAGAAAAAACACTATAAACAAATAATTGTGTGATTTTAATGATTATTTTAACATTTACTCATTAATAGATATTATTATTTTATGCCACACAATAATAATTTAATAGTTATAATTAATTAAATAATTAATTAAAATTAATAACAATTAATAAATTTAAATTTTTATCACACTATATTATTAAATTTTAATATTTAAAGATGATCCCTAATAGAAAAATAACAATTGAAGACTGGTCCTAACAAGATAAATAAAGTCCATATTTTTTTACCTTTATAGAAAAATAAGTCCGTATATTTAACTCTATGCTAATTTCTATTTTGACATTGAATTAATTAAAAAAGAAAAAGAAAAATTCTTCATATTCTAATACCTGTGTTTTTTAACCGAAGAAAGCTTTTTTTTTTTTTTTTTTTCCCCGTGAAAATGAAAATTTTTTTCGCCTTATAGAGTTGAAAATTTAGCCCAAAAAAAAAAATGGGGGGGGGGGGACTAGTGTAAAAACGAGAGAGTTTATTCCGATATGCCACGTGGCAAAAGGTGATAGGACTGTGAAACTGTGACGGTCAAAATCTGAGAAAGTACAAAGCACGGACTAAACGCAAGAAGACCGCGCCAAAGGGCAAAGGCGGATGTCTTCTGTTGTCCAGTCGTTTCCATCTCATCTCTTTCTTCAAATCACTTGTTTTTCTTGTCTTTTTCTTCCACTTCACAACAAAATAATAATAATAATAATAAATAAACAAATAACTCTCTCTCTCTCTCTCTCTCTCTCTCTAAAAGTAAAAACACAAACACCAGACTGTCGGTGGAGTGATAATAGTATTGTAGTCTTGAGGCCGTAGTTGCTCTGTCTCTTTCGTCCTCTTTAAGCGATTTCCTTTCTCTTTTTTCATTTTCATTATCATTATTATTAGTATAAAATACATATTACACCATCTATATATCTACAGCTATACGAAGAGAGAGAGAGAGAGAGAGTGACGCTTTTAGGGAGAGAAAGAGCATTGTTTGTGGCTTTGGTCACACGGGTCTCTTTGAGATCTGTGATATTTAATCTGTTGTTCTTGTTATTTGGGGTTCTGTTTCTATCGATCTGCATCAAGTTTGGCTTTGGATTCAATTGGGTTTCTTTCAGATCCTCACATTTTGGTCAACGAAGATCGTCTCTTTCAGGTAAAGTTGTTTACTTTAACTTTGTTTCCCTGTGGATTCTCGACTGTTTGTTTCTCGAGAAAATTTCGACTGTCCTTTCTGGACATTAAAATATTAGATTTTGACAAGTTCGCAAGAAATCTCAGGAATTATTCTGTATGTCTTTTTAAAAAAAAAAAAAAAAATTAGTGTGATGAGAATTGAAAATTGGGAACTTTTGAAGTTTTCATCTATATTGATTTCTCCTACATTTTTTACCTTGATGAAGAGGAAAGAATCTCCTTTTTTTATCTTTTTCTTTTCAAGTGTTTTCTTATAGATCCAACTCTAAAAAGTGGGTGCATTTGTTTATTCATTCATTTATTTATTTATTGTAATTGCAGATTCTTTTGAAAAAATTGGAGGTTTAAGGCATGCATAATAGATCTGGTTGAGAAGATTGAACTCTGCTGTTTTTTGATCCATTGTACACATCTGTGTTAAGACAAGCAGGTGTCGATGGAATCAGAAGGAGAAACTGGGGTAAGTTTAATTCATTTTCTTTTTTCTTCTACATGCTGGTTTTGATCAATAGAAATTGCACTGAAACATTATTACATAATCATCAATAACTTGTGTTATGAATGTTGATCAGTTTTTTGGTTTATCTGAGTGGAAACACTGAATGTGATCCGAAACCATGGGATTTTAATGGATTCGAGTTGATACTTTTACGAATTTAGAATTTTGTGATTGTCTTCTTTGTATCAATTTTTGCTTAATTTGTGTGTCGTTGATTTGGTTTTGATTAACTCAGGCAAAGGCCATGAAGAGCCTAGGTGGGCAGGTATGCCAGATCTGCGGTGACAATGTCGGGAAGACAGTGGATGGTGAGCCATTTGTCGCTTGCGATGTCTGTGCCTTTCCGGTCTGCCGGCCGTGCTACGAGTACGAGAGGAAAGATGGGAACCAGTCTTGCCCACAATGCAAGACTAGATACAAGAGGCACAAAGGTGTGTTATGCTCACCAATTAATATCATTATTTCATCACATGAGAAAATTTATAGTAAAGTTCATTTTGCAACTGTTCATGACTGCTTGAATTGTGAAAGTGGTTATGAGAAGTTTGTGATTGCTGATACTACCTTGTGATGTAGGATTAATAGGAGAAAGAAATAGAGATAGAAAAATAGACTCAAAGAAGAGAAGAAAAGCAACGAGACAGAGAAATAGAGAGAGAAATTAGAACTCAAGAGAGACAAACACTAGTTTCAATATTCATTAACCATTGTCTCTTGTTTCTGAATTGAAATTACAATGCTACCACTTTTATATGCAAAACCAAATAGCAAAATATTATAAACCAATATGAAATATGAAAACTCTAGTAATGGGAAACTAACCCTATTTTTAAAATAGCATAAATTCTTTATTAAGCAAAATAGGAAATTATACCAAAATAAAATAAGGAAAGTTAACAATGGGGAACTACCCTAATAAATTAAATTCCTAATCAAGAAGAAGCTAAATAAACATCTAAAACTATTCCGCATCACCTTGGTTTTATATCGACTTGTTCATGCCTCTTACTAAACTTTTACATTTTTTTTTGCTATATATATTGCCACTATTTAATGAGGTGGTGAATGCTTTGTTAATAGTGATTTATGATTCACATTTTGGTTTTTAGGAAGTCCTGCTATTCTTGGTGATAAAGAAGAGGATCTTGATGTTGATGATGGCGCTAGTAATTTCAACTACACTTCGGAAAATCAAACCGAGAAGCAGAAGATTGCAGAACGCATGTTGAGCTGGCAAATGACATACGGGCGCGGAGAAGATATTGACAAGGAGGCTTCGCACAACCACATTCCTTTGCTCACCAATGGTCAGGAGGTAGGGCAACTCCTTGTTAACTTGTTGTTCTAATTTGGCAAGGAATTTGGAGTGAAAATATAATCTCTTTACCCGTTTAGGTTTCTGGAGAATTGTCCGCTGCATCACCTGAGCGGCTTTCTATGGCGTCTCCTGGAGTCGGGGGTGCAAAGCGCATTCACCCTCTTCCTTATTCATCCGATGTGAATCAATCACGTACTTTTCTCGCTCTTGTATTTGTATATCATCCTTATGAGTTCGCTTGATGCTTTTGCGCTAATACTGATTCAAAGTCCATGGTTTTTGTGTTTTAGCAGCTAATATGAGGGTTGTGGATCCTGTGAGGGAGTTTGGTTCGCCCGGTTTAGGAAATGTTGCGTGGAAAGAGAGAGTGGATGGATGGAAGATGAAGCAGGAGAAGAACGTTGTTCCAATGAGCGCAGGCCAAGCTACTTCTGAAAGGGGAGGTGGAGATATTGATGCTAGCACTGATGTGCTTGTGGATGACTCTTTATTGTAAGTTTACTCTCTACATGATTTTTATTTTTATTTTTTATTTTTTTTGTGAACCTTAGACCTTACACTCTAAGTCCTTTGGCTTCTTCCTGCAATGCATTCTTGCTTCTGGTGGTGTACTGTATATCTTTACTTCATATCTCAGAGTTTGAACCTATGTAACCTAAAGCTTGAAAAGCTAAGCTATAGTGAAAACAATTTGGACAGGTTATTCCTAATGTCATTTGTTAAGCGGATTTTCTGTTAATTTAATGTTACAAGATCTTAGTCAACACCATTGATCATGAACTTAGTGTTGTTTCTCCACCTAGAAGAAAAGCTACTGAATTGGTCTTTTGTATGGTTAATTTTCATGTTCTCAATTGTTTTTTGTTTTCCAGGAATGATGAAGCAAGACAACCTCTTTCAAGAAAGGTCTCGATTCCTTCATCCAAAATAAATCCTTACAGGATGGTCATCGTTCTGCGTCTTATTATTCTCTGCATCTTCTTGCACTATCGAATTACAAACCCTGTGCCAAATGCCTACGCACTGTGGTTAATATCAGTTATATGTGAGATTTGGTTTGCAATCTCCTGGATTTTTGATCAGTTCCCTAAGTGGCTTCCTGTGAACCGTGAAACATATCTCGACAGACTGGCTTTAAGGTAGGAAAATTTTCTTTGCATGTAATGTTCAGTATCATTGTCATTTAAGCTTTGAAGATTTCCTTGTATTTGGAATTGAAAATCATATCCATGTATGTTACAGATACGACCGAGAAGGAGAACCATCGCAGTTGGCTGCCGTTGACATTTTTGTCAGTACTGTTGATCCGTTGAAAGAGCCTCCTCTCGTGACAGCCAATACCGTGCTGTCAATTCTGGCTGTTGACTACCCAGTGGACAAGGTCTCTTGCTATGTGTCTGATGATGGTGCTGCCATGTTGACATTTGAAGCTCTGTCTGAAACATCAGAGTTTGCGAGGAAATGGGTTCCTTTCTGCAAGAAATATAACATTGAGCCTCGTGCTCCTGAATGGTACTTCACTCAAAAGATCGACTACTTGAAGGACAAGGTCCAACCATCATTCGTCAAAGAGCGCCGTGCTATGAAGGTATAAAAGAAATATCATGGAAATTTGTTTTTTATCCTCATCTTTATGATAATATAGAACCTTAAATTTGGGGATATTTTGACATACATATCAAAAATATCAAAAATAAAAACTTAAAGGAATATTGTCATTTTTAATATAGAAAGTTCTATTGATAGATCTTATGTTCCCTTGCCAATGAAAAAGTGCTTTCTGCTTATGTTTTTTTCTTGTGGATTTTAGAGAGAATACGAAGAGTTTAAAGTTCGTGTCAATGGACTCGTCGCAAAGGCAACAAAAGTTCCTGAAGAAGGATGGATTATGCAAGATGGAACTCCATGGCCTGGAAATAACACTAGAGACCATCCCGGAATGATCCAGGTAACTGCATCTTCAGATTGCTTGCTTCTTAGAAATACATTTATATATTGGAGTTTATCGCGTTAGATAGGTGGCTAATTCGATTATTTTATGTAATTTCTTGTAGGTTTTCTTGGGTCAAAGCGGTGGCCTTGATGTTGATGGCAATGAACTGCCTCGCTTGGTCTACGTTTCTCGAGAAAAGCGTCCGGGTTTTCAACATCACAAGAAGGCTGGTGCTATGAATGCACTTGTAAGTATCTTAGAAATAAATTGCTAGAGTTTTCAAGTTTGTATTCTTGCTATTTTTTTTTCACTCACTCACCTAAATTTCTAACATTACCCTTTTAGGTTCGAGTTTCGGCAGTTCTCACCAATGGGCCATTCTTGTTGAATCTTGATTGTGATCACTACATCAACAACAGCAAGGCCTTGAGGGAATCCATGTGTTTCTTAATGGATCCCAACCTTGGCAAAAATGTTTGTTATGTTCAGTTTCCACAGAGATTCGATGGTATTGATAGAAACGATCGATATGCCAACCGAAATACCGTGTTCTTTGATGTGAGTTTCTTCTGAATTTCTTACTTGAGCAATTTTTTGTGTTTTTCATTCATTTAAGAGCATGTTTTCCTACTATGAATTGGAAAAGAAAATTCAATCCTAAATTACCCTTTTTGTTTGTAATGGAATGAAATAAAACGTAAGTTTTCATTTGTAACCTTTTTCAGTTTTAACCATTAAGTTGATAAACATGGTCACTTTCCTTGTGTATTCCAGATTAACTTGAGAGGTTTGGATGGAGTTCAAGGTCCTGTTTATGTTGGTACGGGATGTGTCTTCAATAGAACTGCCTTGTATGGTTACGAACCTCCTCTTAAGCCAAAGCACAGGAAAGCTGGAGTCCTATCTTCTCTCTGTGGTGGATCAAGAAAGAAGGGTTCAAAGTCAAGTAAAAAGGGCTCTGACAAGAAGACATCTGGCAAGCATGTGGACCCCACCGTGCCGATTTTCAGTCTGGAAGATATCGAAGAGGGAGTTGAAGGTACAATTATTTCTATATCTGTTTCCTAAAATTGTTTAGATGTTCATGAATTACATTTTAAGAGGAGATACTTATTCCTTCTATGTTTATTTCCTTTGCAAACTTTTTCGTTGAAAAGTGGGAGGAAAGAAATTGAAGAGATTTTGGGGAAGAAAAGAGAATGTTGGGTTGTTTGGAAGAGAAAAAAGTTGGAAAGAAACAAGTGGAAAATTTGTGAAAAGGGGAGAAAATGTTGCACAAAATACATGGATTTTAATAACTATTCTGTCTCTTAATTACACGCCATTCACTCGTTATGTACAAGGGTAAATCTATTGAGAAAAAAAGAATAGACACATAGATTTATAGAGTATCATATTTATATTTTGTCACCGTCATCGTCTATTGAGAGAAAAATCTTTCTTCTTGATTTTGCTCACTTAAGTTTTTACCAAACATAATGTATGTAATGCCTAACAGTTAGCAATGTAATATCTCTAAGAATGTATGTGTCTAATCTCTATATCAGGTGCTGGATTTGATGATGAGAAGTCATTGCTGATGTCACAAATGAGCCTGGAGAAGAGATTTGGTCAGTCTGCTGTTTTTGTTGCCTCTACTCTTATGGAGAATGGTGGGGTCCCTCAGTCTGCGACCCCCGAAACTCTTCTCAAAGAGGCCATTCATGTCATCAGTTGTGGTTATGAGGACAAGACTGACTGGGGAAGTGAGGTAATGTGGCAGTTTTCTTTAGAGCTACAATATTGTTGTTGCAACTTCCTTGACAATGACTTTAATTCTCACTACTTTGGTTTTGTGTCTTGTAGATTGGATGGATCTACGGTTCGGTCACAGAAGATATTCTCACGGGATTCAAGATGCACGCCCGTGGGTGGAGGTCAATTTACTGCATGCCGAATCCACCGGCCTTCAAAGGGTCTGCTCCTATCAATCTTTCGGATCGTCTGAACCAAGTGCTTCGGTGGGCTTTGGGTTCTGTGGAAATTCTTCTCAGTCGGCATTGCCCGATCTGGTATGGCTACAAGGGCCGGCTTAAATGGCTCGAGAGATTTGCATATGTCAACACCACCATTTATCCGATCACAGCCATTCCGCTTCTCATGTATTGCACATTGCCGGCTGTCTGTCTTCTCACAAACAAGTTCATCATTCCACAGGTTTGTCCCGTCACCCTACAATATCTTGTGTGAAACAAAATACATTATAGTAACACATTGCTATTGGAAACTGTGAGAGATTGGCTCACTTTTAATTAATCACAAATTCACATCTCAACTCTGAGACACGTATTATAACTCAGGAATCCACAGAGTCTCACATGTAAACTTCTATAATTAGTGTTTTTCGAACATATTTTGTCAAGAGTCGAGACATTGCCAGGTTCACGTAGTCACTAGAAACAGTTGAAATAATCTTTAAGACTTACTAGTGATGACATCTACACATCTTTAGTTTTCATTCAAATGTCCACCGTAGAAACTCCTAGATTATGACTCAGGGACTTGTACAGTCTTACACGTCAATATCTAACTAGAAAGTGCTTGTGATAACAGATTAGCAACATTGCAAGTATATGGTTCATCTCCCTCTTTCTTTCCATCTTTGCGACTGGTATCCTTGAGATGAGATGGAGTGGGGTTGGGATCGACGAGTGGTGGAGAAACGAGCAGTTTTGGGTCATTGGTGGTGTCTCTGCCCATCTCTTTGCCGTCTTCCAAGGTCTGCTCAAAGTGCTGGCCGGCATTGACACAAACTTCACTGTCACCTCCAAGGCCTCAGATGAAGAAAATGATTTCGCCGAGCTCTACATGTTCAAATGGACGACCCTCCTCATTCCGCCAACGACCCTCCTCATCATCAACTTGGTGGGGGTTGTTGCCGGGATCTCCTACGCCATCAACAACGGATACCAGTCATGGGGTCCGCTCTTTGGGAAGCTGTTTTTTGCCTTTTGGGTGATCGTCCATCTTTACCCCTTCCTCAAAGGTCTCATGGGACGACAGAACAGAACTCCTACAATTGTTGTCGTTTGGTCAATCCTACTTGCTTCCATATTCTCCTTGTTGTGGGTAAGGGTTGACCCTTTCACCACTAGAGTAACTGGTCCTGACGTTGAGCAATGTGGAATCAACTGCTAAAGGAAAATGCTCAATGGAAGAAGAAAATAAATTAGGCATAAATTTTTTTGGATATTTAAGTGGGAAAAAAGGCCCCTCATGGATGGGAATTGTCTTGATACACTTTTTTTTTCTTTTTCTTTTTGTGTAATTTTTATGTCTGTGGACTGGTTTGTTAAATTAATTACCCTTGTGAATCTTAAATTATGTGCAGATTTATAGTGAGTTTAAAAACAAAAGAAATGAAATTCATTTTGTTCTTGGAGGGTCAATGTCAGTGTAATACGTTTAGAACAGAGGGAGCTATATATGTGGAATCTGAGCTGTAAAACATAACTTGTATCACGTTAAAACTTTTATTTGAAGCAAATTTGTATTTTATGTGCATTTCTTTTTTTTTTTTTTTGCCCCTAAAGAAGAAATGGTTATGAGAGTAGAAGGCGGTGTACCGAATAATTTTAAAGAGGCATGGCAAATTCCTCACAATGTGAATTTATCGTCCAAAAGTATAAGAAGTCTTACCATCTTAATCCTTTTGACCTTAAATATAGAGACTAACATGAATTGCGCTAAGTACTCCATTTTCTACCCTCTTGATAGTTTAGTCATTGTAGTCTTCTTTTTTATTTGTTCATATGACCCCACCTCAAATAGATTCAACTAGTGTGTTACCCACAGCACGGATGTATATTTACCTATTTAATAGTTAAAATATTTTATAAAAACAAAACAAAATACGATACACGATAAGAGTTCAGTTTGTAAGCAGTACACATTTATTTATATATTCATGTGTGTGTGTGTATATACATATACATATATATTCGTCTCCACTTTTCTTCCTTATTTCTTCTTAGCTGCAATAAAGATATACGGAAAAAAATGAAAAATTAGTTGTCAATTAATTATGATGAATAATAATAAATTTGTTTATATTTAATGAAATGATAATTTTAATATGTAATGTATAGTGTTACCTGATTGGTTTTTATTTTTTCAAAGAACTGATGGAAGAAGTTGACTTAAGATAACACTTCACTCATGACATTATTAACCGCAATCACATAATTTAAGTTACGTAGTGATTACCGTGTTTATAAAGTTAGTGTAACGATATAGTCTAAAAAATAGAATCACCAATCATCATTTTCCCTTGCTAGTAAACTCATTAATCCTTCATTCTCATCCTAAGCATGTTTTTTCAATAATAGTTTGTGCTCTCCTTGGGGAGAAAAAGATGTTAGGTTATAATTAAGGTCAAAAGTTGAATAGAAGAATAAAGTAAAAAAAAAAAAAATTAATGTTACACTAGAAAAATAAACACCCATAGTAGGAAAATCAAAACATATACATTATTTATGAAGAAAAAAAAATGCATTGGCCCAAAGTCCAAACCATAGCTTAATGTGTTACCATATTGGAAGTTCCACTTTCTAATGGTTGATCTAGCAATGTACCATTATTGCGTACGAAGTGGTACATTCTAGAACTGAAAGCAGATAGATTTGCTGATCTACTCGACTTCAATATTTCTGACAAAGATCACGTGAGACGGGCACGTGGTTGATTGTGGTCCCATTCCCATCCTCCGTGCATGCACATTAGCTTGACGTGTCATATCCACGTGTCACTTAGCACTTTTTTTCTGGGACACGTGTCTCTTATCTACAAGCTTGCTCTTGGAGTTAACACGTGGCAGGCTGAATCATTGTAAGTTGAATGGTTATTACATTAATATATATCCTTTTTCAGTATTGGTCGTTCATTGTAATTGTAAATTATAAAGTGCCAAGAGAAAAGAAAAGTGAGAAGGAATAGGAATCTGTTTGTTTCGCGGGAAAGATAAAGAAAGTAATATTATTGGCGACAATGACTATGGCCATCTCTCATGAGGAACCGATTCTCTCTAAGCTTGATCGCTTGGACAACATGGTGAGTCACTAATTAATAAACCACTTTCATGTTTATTTTCTTTTCTTTCTATTTTTGTTTTTTTTATTATTTATTAACTCCTTCAATGAGTGGTTTTGTTCTTTTTTGAAAAAGGTAAACGCATATATAAATTGGTGAGGAAAGTCATCTTAAAGTGGTATAATTTGTGTTATGTTTATTGATGTCTTATTCGCAAAAGTAGAATTTTTCTTGGAAAATAGCTTGATTGGAATTCATACTATAAGTTGGTGAAACTTATTTACCAAAACAAAAGTTCATGAAAATTCATACCATTTCTCTAAGTTCTCTTCTTTCAAAAAAATAATAATTTAAATAATAACGTAGAAGCATAAATAAGTTGGGTGATGAAAATCGTGTCGAGAGAACTATACGTATTTGTTGGTAAAAACTATGGGAATTTTTATGCTCATAAACGTCCTATTGGCAAAAACTAGTAATTTTTTGAAAGCTATTGCTAAAAGAAATGATATTTTCATTAATTTTACGAAACAGTAAAAAATTCACATAGTTTTTTTATATGAATAGTGAATTTATGTTAAAAAAAATATTCCAATAATAACATCTTGACTCGTGATTTGTAAAAAAAATGTTAAATTTGAACTTTAGAATATTATAATAATTGTAATAAAATCTTGAGTCGTCATACAAATGAACGAATGAAACGAACAAACTGATGTAACAACGAATCGAACAAAACTTTAGAATTGTACAAAATTTGGTCACTAGCTAGCATCTTGAACTTTATGTGTGTGCGCGCACAACAGTTGAGACAATTGGAGGAGATCAGAGGCAGCAACAGATCATCATCACCACCAAAAAGCTCGTACGCATCAACCCAATCAAGTGGGACCCTGACGAGTGAGGGACACGCGTCATTCGTGGATGATGTTTCCCCAAAGAGCCTAGAAAAGCACTGCCGTCCGATTAACCATGTGATGCTTGAGACAGAGGTCAAAGGAACACTAATTGAGAGGCTCCACCGTGTAGAGGATCGAGTCCTTAAGGTCAGGAATACGGATTTTTTTAACATCATCTTTTAAATTATATGGAAAAAATGATCCATACAAATATTTACGTGTCTATTATATATATATATATATATATGTACATATGTGTGTATTTATGTGGGGTGAATAATTAGTGATCAGTTATTTTCTATAGTTTGTTGAAGAAATTTTATTGTGTGTGTGTGTGTGAAGAGAATTATGATATAAATTAAAACAAAACACGTTGTCATAATTTAAATTAAACCATTTAAAGCATGTAATTGAAATATATATATATATGTATATATATTTTAACCATGTGTAAGAAATGTAGAATGTGTTTATCTATCTCATATTGGATTAGTACTACTAAATACTAATTAGTTTATATTGATGTGTATTTAATTGCGTCTGATTTGTGATGATCAGTTGTGTTTGCAGTTGGAGGAGGAATTAGTTGAGGAAGAGAAGCACAAGGAGGCGACCGATCACAAGAAATCCCACAACAAGAAAGGGATTAAGCAACTTGTTAAACAATGTGTTAAAGGAGGAAAGAGGAAGACTTAAAAATAATTATTATAATAAAAACCCTTCAATGCTTTATTATTGTAACTTAAAATAGTTTCCGAGTTTGTTAATTTCTTTCTTGCCTTTTTTTTTTTTTTTTTTTTTTTTTTGGTTTAAATTGCATGGGACAACTTTTCATGGTGAATTTTGTACGTAAAAGGAAGGACTTGTGATTGTGAAGACATTAACAATGCCCGGTTGATGTTTTGTTTGTTTGTTTGTATGTTTTGAAGCTTTTGGAGTTCAATTGGGGTTTATAAATGTGCTATTTTTTATCGTCTCTCTCAAGAATATCTATTTCTTTTACTCGGAACTCTATTTTTGGTATTTTCCTTTGTCGTTGCGGCAAATGTCCAACTTCCGGTTTTGGAATGATCCAACTCTTTAGAAGGTACTTTCCTCCTCTTTTCTTTTTTTTTTTTTTTTTTTTTTTTTTTTTGTCCCAACGAACGCATGAGACACACATAAATGGAGGAAAAGGAATTCATGGTTTCTTCTTTTTCACATTTGTCTCAAACCCCACTTAAATGTGAGAATTTCTAAAATAAAAGTTGTGAAAAATGTACAACATATTTATTGTGACACTATATGTGTCGTTGTTTATTGTTATAATAATAATAATGGTTAAGAAGTTTATGTATCAAAATGAAGATGTATAAAGTATACGCAATAAATAAATTTTATAGTTTTTAATGCAAATACAGTGGCGTAAAAAAGAGATGATTGTTGTAGATTTTAGACCCATGAATCCACAATGCACATGTTAATCCCTATATTTATAACATAAAAAATAAAAATGCAAATGTTAATCCCTATATTTATAACATAAAAAATAAAAAATCCCTATATTTATAACATAAAAAATAAAAATGTAAATGTTAATCCTTATATTTATAACATAAAAAATATGATATGGTATGTTATTTTTATTTTTATTAATATTAATTTCTATATTTATAATATAAAAAAGTATGATATAATATGATATTTTTATTTTTGATGATACGTTATTTTTATTTTTGTTTCTTCAAAATGCATGTTAAATCTATTTTTTTTATAATTATTAAGTTTTGAAAGTTGTAAAAGTAAACTTTTATTTTAAAAATAATTAGAAAATATAAAAGTTATATTAATTTTATAGAAAAAGTAAACATTTCAATTAATAGTAATTAAATGTCAAATTTCTCGTATGTCATATTTGATGAGAAATTTATCATAAAGTATATAATATATAGAAAATTTAGCACAATAATTTGTTGTGCATTAGAGAGTGTTTTTTAAACTCAAATATTAACATTGCATTAGAGATGTTCATACATTATAAATTTTTGATCAAATGAGTTTTTCTTTCAATTTTAACTAATTGGTTAATATAGTTATTTGATTAAAGGTATAAATTAAGGCTAAGAGGTAAAAAATTTCACATACTTTAAGGGGCAGTCTCATTCATTTAATTTTATTTTTTTCCAAATCTTTATAATGGTTGTTAGTTGGCCCCTCTTTTGACTTTAATCGATCACGAGCGTCTAATGATTAACAATGGAGCCAAACCGTCCATTTGATTTTCTCGCAGGATAAAATGCTTTTGAAAAGAAGACCCTATCGATGGGCCTTTAAACGGGGGAAGATGTAGAAATGGGCCCCTAAAATTGAGGTCATATGGGCCCATCTAAGTGAGGTCATCCATGTCCAATGGAAATGTTCCTATTAGGCCCATTTGAGCTTGTATGGGTTCATCATACCGAATCAATTACCCAAAAGTGCTCTTTTAGATGAGACGGTTGAGATTGCCCGACTGGTCATACTATTACGGGGATGTTTAGTTTGAGGATTCAAACCATAATTTAAATGATAATTTATGATTTATTATAGTATTTTCTCTCATAAAAAATACACGTAAATAAAAAATAATTCTAATCACATAATTTCAATCCATGAACTAAACGTCTTTAGGACACTTGTAAGATCAGTTTTTGATCTCCACGCATTATCAAAAAACGACAATGAAATGTTTTCATAGTCATAGATGCCTAAATATCGACAGAGAAAGAACTAGAATCCTGATCTCCTCATCGCATTTGCATTTGTATTTGCATGATATGAAAAGAGATGCTTGCAGTGCCAGGTGTCGTTTGATGAGAGTATGAGCAAAAAATCAATCACAATCGAGTGAGTGGGCCCAAATCCCCCATAGTAGGTTTAATTGATTAGAGGATTCAAATTGAATTTTGACAAAATTGAGGTCATTTTCCCTTAACATTGCGATGTCCCGTAGAGGGTACACGTCCATATGACTTGTAACACCGAACATGCACTAGCTTCCAATTATAGTGGGACTTTATTTGGGTTCTTATTCTTGGTTTTCACTGTTCAATCCTCGTCTGTGAAGTATTTTTCAAGGTAGTTGAAATATGATTTTTATTATTATTACTTATTACATTATTTATTATTTGAAATGAAAGAGGCATAAGTTCTTGATGGATGAGAAAGGTGATCCTTCCTTTTGGCCTGTTTTTGGGACTTTCACACGGCATGCATTAATGGTGTCTTGCCCTAACTATTCTTTTATATATTTTCCCTCTTACTATGCATATAAATCACATTTTACCAACAACAAAAAAAAAGATCATACTTTTATCAAAAAAAAAAAATCATACTTATAAGTATTATTGTGACGTTTTGTATTATGTAATATGATAAGTGTAAGATTGGACTATCAAATATGTATCAAGTAATGCTAAATTTACATATTTTTTTGATATAATTTTTAATAGTTTAGACAGTCTAGAGATACACGATACTAACATAGGTCCCGTTAATTTTACCTATTCGAGTTTTGCTACAGTAAAAAGCTCTTAAAAACAGTAACATCTAACTTTTTTAGTATAGTAAAAAATTCTTACATAAAATCACATCTCAACTCGAATTAAAAACTCGAATAAGCAAACTAAACAGGCTCATAATATATCTTTGTATCTTACGATAAAATTCTTTACAATAGCACATATTATAAAGGAACATATTGATTGAATCTTGGAATATAATAGTGTTTGATTTGTGTTACATCATACAAAATAATACCTGATTAAAAAAAACATGATTATATGCGAGATAACTAATGGATAAAGTTCATGACACTGATTTCTTAATTTATTATTTCTTTGAAAACTTGATTGATTCGAACGAAATGTCCAAAAAAAAGGTCCTAGCAAGGATTTGGATGCTAATTTTCTTAATTTTAACGGTCAAAGCATACAATTTAGATAGCACGCTTATTGCAATGATAGTAAAGAGTTATCATCAATTAAAGATGTGGGACTGTGGGACATGAAAGGAAGAATAAAGCATACAATTTAGATAGCACGCTTATTGCAAACACAAATGCCCCAAACAGGTACTCACTTATCCAATTTGGATAATGGTAATGGCAATATATATATATATATATGCGCGCGCGTGTGTATATATATACACGCGTATATATGTCAGTAGTTGGATAAATATACATATATATATATATATATATCTCAGCAAATATATGTTATAAAAATTTGGGATAGTTTTATTTTATTTTGGAAATTGCTGTTGAATAATTGCAGATCTGAAAGTACATGACAATATGAGCTCTTATGTCGGCAAATCATCTTATATAAAATGGAAGGAGCCTGAAAATAAAATTTATTTTGTTTTGTAATAATATGAATGTGCTCTTTTCTTTTCTTCTTTAGTTTATTACTAGTCTTTAACCCGCGCGATGCATGTGTAATTCATTTAAAAATAATTGTTATATAAATTGTTTTTAAAACAAGTTAAAAGAAAAAAATGGATAGCTCTCACTCAAAAAAGATTCTAATTTTTGTATTGAGTTTTTAATTAGATTTATTATGTTTTGTTTGAATTTGTTTTTATACTAAATTTGGTGTGATTTGATTTTATTTTAACTCAGCATATTTTTATTTGTTTTTTCATTAGAATTATTTACAACATTTTCATGTGAGTAGTATCAAAAAGTTAGTGCAAGATGGTAGTAAAATAATTATAATTCATACAAATTATTTATATTTTTTATCTGTGTAGTATTAAAAATTTGACACAAAATGGTGCTAAAAATTGGACTACAAATCACTTAAAAATAAATAAATAAATAAACATAATAAGTAGTAATAATAATAATAATAATAATAATAATAATAATTAGAAAAATGAGAATGATTTCAAGCCAGCCACGTACGTGACTTATTCAAAATAGCTGAAATGTAAATTATTTTATAAAAAGAAACGAACGGGAAAAAGAGGCAAAAAAAAAAAAAAGTGTTAAAGTACGGTCACCTGAGTTCTATTTGGTCCGACTGGAAAAGCTCACGGTGCGATATAGTATCAGAAATTTGACACAAAACGGACAAATCGGACCACAAAATCAATTCAAAATTAACAAATAAAAAATGTATATAAATAATAATATTTAGAAAATAAACTCAGAATTATCTCAGGTCACCAGATTAAACAGATCAACGGCTATGAGAGGCGCGCGTTCAGAGGGGCAAGGGAAACAAGTCATCGCCCCTACAGGTGGGTCCCGCCACTTTCTCATTCACACTAATCACGACAAGACACATGGAAAGGTGTCGGCCACCTTCTTCCCACCCGTGCGATTTAATGCGGCGTGGTTTATGGTTGAGCATTTTGCCATCCAACGATGAACTACACGTGGTGAAATTTTTAATCCAACGGCCCACAGGCAGCCCATGAAAATCCACCAACGAATTCCTGTAATTGAAACTTGACGCGTGGCAACTCCACTAAATTGCACATACACCTGATTTTTTGCCCTCCTTTGCAAAAAAATAAAATAAAATTACGAGGTTAATTTTTGGGAAGAAACTTGCCTTCAAGTACTCTTTACTTCATAAATTAGAATCATGTGATTATAATTATTTTTGATTTATGTATATTTTTTATGAGAAAAAATATTATAATAAACCATAAAATATAATTTAAATCATAGTGTGAATCCTCTAACCAAACATCCCAATATTTTAGATTTAGATTAGATGCCTTCAAAAATATAATGTCATTATATAAGGTTGGCTATTTTATATTAATTTTGTGTCTTAGTATAGTCCATTTCTCTTTTCTTTGTTTTTCTTTAAAAAAAAAATCGGGCATAGGGAAGGAGTGACATTAGCTACCTCTACAAGTACACGACTGCACAGTAAGTGATAATAATAAAAAAAACCTTTGCATTATGGGATTCTTTGATAGCTCAAATTTTTTTAGGTCTCGTTCATTTCGTTAATTTGAGTTTAAAATTTAAATTTTGTTACAGTAAAAAGTTCTCACAAACAATCACATCTAACTTTTTTGCTACAGTAAAAAGCTCTCACATAAAATCACATCTCAACTCGAATTAAAAACTCGAATCAGTGAACTAAACGGGCCCTAATTAACTTCATTGCTATAAATATTTGGAACATGATCAATAAACAAGAGTAGGGACAAAGAAGAATTTTCCTTTAATTTGAAGAAACTTATATTATTATTGTTATTATTATATGTTTCATGGCATTTGGATACTATTTTGAAGGAGAATTTTATGGTAATTAAGTTGTAGAAGTAATACTCTATTGATATTTTCTACCATTAAATTATAGAAAAATCATAGAAAAAGAAATGGTAATTTAGTAGAATCTCATGAAATTTTAATGGCAAAAACTGTACATTATTAGTATGCTATATATAAATATAATACATTTTTCAATCAATCAAAAGAATTATAACAATAGTTCACTACTACAAAGTACATATAACCACAAGTGATAGTAACCACATCTTTTTAATTAACGACTTCTGTCTTATTCGTTTCGCTGATTCGAGTTTAAAATTTGAGTTGAGATGTAATTTTATATGAGAATTTTTTACTGTAACAAAAAAGTTAGATGTGATTATTTGTGAGAGCTTTTTACTGTAGTAAAACTCGAATCAGCGAAACGAACGAGACATAAATTCACACACCAACTTACACGTGTCAATTTTTAATTGGTTTGTATTTTCAAGATTTATGCTTATTTTGACAAATATTTATTTATATTATTTGGTGTTGAATATTTTGACTCCATAATTGACCATCCACTACACAACACTTTAAACATAATTGGCGGAATCCAAACTCCAAATTCCAATCCACTTAACTCCATCAGTTGACGCCCACACCACCTACATGAAAAATGAAATGAAGTGCAAAAAAAATCCCACTCAAATTTCAACATTTCATTCGCATTTGGTGTGCATTTCAATGCTCCTCACTCTCTCTCTTCTTAAATTCTTCTCCAAATTAAACCCAAATTCCGATTCCTTCTTCATTTCACTTCAATTTCATTTCTGAGACGTTACTCTCTCTCTCTCTCTCTGTCTTGATGCTTTCTCTCTCTACAAGTTCTCTCACTATCTTTGTGTGATTCCTCGTTTTCATCGATGGCAATGGAAGCTCTAGCTTTCTCTTCCTTAAGATCTTCTTCTTCTTCTTCTTCTCGTTTCTTAACATTTCTTGTTCAGATCGACGATTCGTTAATTCGTTAACTCCATTTTTAGATCTCTCGCTGATCGTCGTATTCTCAGATACTCGTAATAATCGGTGAGTTTTCTGTTTTGGTGAAAAGTTTCTAGTTTGTTTCTGTTGTTTTATCTGGAAAAATTTCTTCTTATAGCATTCTCTGTGATCACTTTCTTGTTTGGCATTTGATGTTCTAGTTCTTGAAATCGCATTACTTTTGATTTTTCGTTGACTTGACCTACTCTCTTGAGCTCTCGAAATTTTTGCTTAATAATCGATTTTTTTTGTTGCTGATTTTTATTTTGCTGAGTAATCGAAAGTTTTGACCTTTTTTTTTTGTTCGGAGTAATTTAGTATATTTTTTCTTCTTTGCCTCCTTGGACGAGTTTATTTACTAATATGTGTAGCAAATCGTGAATATCAAGTTTGGATATTGGCGAATAAATGTTTACTTTTGCATTTTCTAAAGTTGGTAATTTTATTTTTTTGGGTTGAAAGAAATGGTATCTTTTTCTTATCTGGAATTTGATATCATGTCAATACATTCATATTGTGGTTAGTGCTATATTTATTCGGTGCCTGATTTTGATATCATGTAAGATTGTACTTTTTTTTTCGGATTAAGAATTTTTTTTTGAAGGGGAATAAGAATAATTCACGTTTCCTAACTTTGAATAAGAAAAGCCAAAGACAGTGATATATTCGTTTTAGATGATTCTAGATTAACTTCAGATTTGTTATCTGGACTTGGCTAAGATTCTCTGCGTCCATTTATTTATTTATATATTCTTCTTTTTCCCGAATTTCCTTGTTATTTACAATTAACATCGGGCGTCTCTAGGATTTAGAAAACTATTGGAGTAGATGAAAATTTCCTAAACATTTATAATTTGGGTTTGCTTTCATTTTGGCTCTAGGCTTATTATTGGGTCTTGGTTTCTAGTTTGAAGAAAACCCAAAAAGTGTTTTAACATGCATTTTTTGCCCAATAGGATTTCTGGTATTAATCTGCCTTTTACGTAGTATATTGTTAATCTTTCTTCTTCACTGGGGCTATGAAGCCTTTTAGTTTCTGAATGTGTTGGTATCTTATTGGCTCTTGCATAATTTCTTCCTTTTGGGTTCTTTTGATTTTTCAGCAACTTAAAGCGAAATTTTCAGCTAATTGAAGTATGTGCGGTGGTCCAGAGCGTTCCAAATCTACATCAACTCCATCCACGGTTGAAACTGAGTCTAGCGCCAAAGACATGAGTAATGGAACCCTTAAAGCTGACGAGTCTTTTAGCAGTTTATTAGAACTTGCTTCCAACAATGATGTTGAAGGCTTTAAGCGCTCGATTGATCGGGATGCTTCTTCAATCAACGAGATTGCACTGTGGTACACCCGCGGGAAAGGTGCAAAGCACATCGTTCGCGAGTATAGAACTCCACTGATGGTTGCTGCCACTTATGGTAGTGTTGATGTTCTGAAGCTTATACTCTCATATTCAGAGGTTGATGTGAATCTCTCTTGTGGCCTGCACAAAAGCACCGCCCTTCATTGTGCTGCTTCTGGTGGATCCGTTTGTGCTGCCGATGTTATTAAGCTGCTTCTATCTGCTGGTGCTGATCCAAACTTGATGGATGCCAATGGTCATTGCCCTGTCGATGTGCTTGTTGTTCATCCCAAGCTGCAAAACATGAGGGTTACACTTGAGGAGCTTCTGTCAAAAGATGCTTCTGATGGCTCTGTTGGCGAGCAGAGTTTGCGTCTGTCTATTAATTGCTCAAAGTACACCGATTCTTCATCGCGTTCTTCTTCCCCAGACAATGAGCGATCCCCTTCCGGCTCAATCTCATCACCTCTTGCATCAAAGATGACTGATCTGCCTCCTATCACTACACTGGAGAAAAAAGAGTATCCAATTGATCCGTCCATCCCCGACATCAAGAACAGCATTTATGCAACAGATGAGTTCCGCATGTTCTCCTTCAAGGTTCGACCGTGTTCGCGGGCATATTCGCATGATTGGACTGAATGCCCGTTTGTTCATCCAGGAGAGAATGCTCGCAGGAGAGATCCAAGGAAGTTCCACTACAGCTGCGTTCCCTGTCCTGATTTCCGGAAGGGGGCTTGTAGGCGCGGAGATTTGTGCGAATATGCTCATGGGGTGTTTGAGTGCTGGCTTCACCCTGCTCAATATCGGACACGGCTTTGCAAGGATGGCACCAGCTGCAATAGAAGGGTGTGCTTTTTTGCGCACAGAACCGAAGAGCTTCGACCCTTGTACGTCTCCACTGGATCTGCCGTCCCTTCACCACGTGCATCATCTGCATCTGGACCGAGTGTCATGGACGTGGCTGCTGCTTTGAGCCTTTTGCCTGGTTCCCCTTCATCAGTCTCCGCCATGTCTCCTTCCCCGTTTGCGCAGCCCATGTCTCCATCAGCCAATGGTATTTCCCCGTCATCAGTTGCTTGGCCGCAGCCAAATGTGCCAACACTTCATCTCCCCGGAAGCAACCTCCAATCAAGCCGCCTAAGATCTTCACTTAGTGCCCGGGACATCCCACCTGAGGATTTGAAAATGTTGCTCGAGTTTGATGCCCAACAACAGCTCTTAAATGATCTGAACTGTATCTCACAGCCTCGTTTAAGTTCTGCTTCGCTGAGCCGTTCTTGTCGGTCTAAAACACTAACACCTTCAAACCTGGAAGAGCTATTTTCTGCTGAGATCTCTTCATCGCCTCGGTATTCTGATCATCTGGCTGCTTCCACATTTTCCCCTACTCACAAGTCAGCGGTGCTAAATCAATTCCAACAGCAGCAGAGCATGTTATCACCTATTAACACAACTGTTTTGTCGCCAAAAACAGTTGACCACCCTCTTTTACCGGCTTCATTTGGTGTTCAGTCTCCTGGAAGGATGTCACCTAGGAGTGTGGAGCCAATCTCCCCAATGGGTACTCGGCTTTCGGTGTTTTCTCAACGTGAGCACCAGCACCAGCACCAACACCATCACCATCACCAGCACCAGCACCAGAACCAGCACCAGAGCCAGCACCAGCACCAGCACCAGCACCAACTACGCAGCCTCAGTTCGAGGGACCTTGGAACCAACAATACTACATCATCCATTGTCGGCTCTCCTGTGAGTTCTTGGTCGAAATGGGGATCTCCCAATGGGAAGCTGGACTGGTCTGTCAACGGAGACGATGATGCTCGAATGAGAAGATCGTCTTCTTTTGAGCTTGGGAACAATGGGGAGGAGCCAGACTTGTCGTGGGTCCAATCTCTTGTGAGGGAATCTCCACCTGAGATGATGAAAGATAAGGCGGCACTTTCACTTAACGGTGCCGCCGCCACAGCATCCGGTGGTGAGGGTCTGAATTCCAATTCGCAAGTCGAAACTATTGATCATTCTGTTTTGGGAGCTTGGGTTGAGCAGATGCAGCTTGCTTGATCATCAGCTCTTTAGTCTAGTGATGAAAAATGAATTCATTTTACTCCTGGATGTAGGTATCTTAAGTAAGTCCAAGGTACATACAATTATATGCTTCATATTTTTTCTTGCTTTCTCGGGGTCCTTTTCTGGAGAGACGACAACAACAACAGGTGATATCAAAGAGGTAACAATAGACTCAAAATGTTTCAGAAGATTATTCAATTCTTACAATATATATATATATTCTTTGTAGCAGAGATCTGAAAAGGTCGAAGGATGAAGAAGACTCTCTGGGACTAGTAGTATTAATTAAGGAACCAGTCGGTTTAGGTATTATTCTTCTTCCATTATTCTCTTTCTAGCCATCGTTTTTCTCTTAATTTGTTCTTCAAAGAAGTTACAAGTCTGTCAGCAACAACAAGACCAACAGCTTTGTATTTCATATCAGCATTTTTATTCGATATTTTAAATAGTTTAATTTCTGTAATTTTGACTAGAGAAAAGGACCTTTTAGAATTGTATCATTTCAAGTTCAGTAATCGGACAATGGAGAAGCTGAACTTCCGTGTAGAACTGAACCAAAGTTATTTTTTTATTGATATATCATACCTTTATTATTGTTATTATTGTTTGTTTTAGTTTTCTCTGTCTCCATATTCATTTTGTATTGTTCCGTCGCACTTTCATGGATTGACTGATTCAAAGAATCTACTTTTCAAAGAACTGGGACAATGGAGGAGATGAACTTTGTGGAGAACTGAACTAAAGTTTTATTTTTATCTTTATCAATGCCTTTATTTATTTGTTTATCTCTATTCGTTGCCCGGTAACTATGATTCAAGGGATCTACAAAAGAATTGCAACACTTTCGTGTTAGTAGGTTGCTTTATTCATGGGAGTTGCTTGTATGCTTGTTTTGTTTTTTGACAATTCTATCTAAACCACTTTGTGCACACACAACTCGAAAAGTTAAATTATATTATAATCCTATCATTATTAAGGGTTATGTTGGATTTAAATTTTTAATTTGAGTGAATTTTTTTTATTATAATAAAAAAATTAAATGTGATTATTTTTAAGAGTTTTTTATTATAATAAAATTTAAATTTTAAATTCGTGAAATAAACAGAATTTAAATATAAACACATAATTTAACACATAATTTGATGAAAATACATGGTTTAAACTTATGTAATATCTTATAATAGATATCTGCCGTACTTTATTTTTTATTTGTAATCTTTCTTGAGAAGAGACCCCACAAAACAATTAAGAAATGTGCTAGGTTTAGTGGTTAGAAAATGTGGGGCCAAGTGTTGGGGAAAAGATGTAACGTTTTGGGATGCCAACCACACATCCCATAAAGTGGGTGGGTGGGACTTTTATTGAAGTAAAGTAATTTGTGAGTATTGATAATGTTTGGGGGGTTATCATCGTCAATCTCATGTATAGGTCGGTGGAGATGACCCAGGTTTTGCTTCCTTCCAAAGTGTTGTCGCAAAGATATCATTAATTAATGTCATCACAACCACCATCGAGTGCATGATGTGATGGGTTCCAAGAAGCGATATATATATATATATATATTTACACACTTGCACGGGTCACCATCAAGCTGTATGGACATGCATGGACATGGCTACGGCATTCTTCGTTTTTCCACTTCTCATCGTATATCTGGCCAATTTTTACGGTGGAGTAAGCTATTTTATTTGATCAGTGGACGATTAGTTTATAGATTTAAAATTATGATTTAAAATTATTTTTAATTTACGTGTATTTTTTATGAGATAAAATATTATAACGAATTATGAATCATAATTCAAATCATGATATGAATCTATTAATTAAATAAATCATAAGTTGTTTTTTAATAGTGAGAGTGTTTTCAACCATGAAGTTGTTTTTTAATAGTTAATTTATGCAAATAACAGAACTACTCTTATTACAGATAAGATGATTTAAAAATAAATCTAATGCTAAAACACTCTCAAACTGGCGAAACAAAATAGTTTATTTCACGTAAAGATTACCATCTATATAGTATAGATAGGTAAATAAATAGATATTTGTATGCATATGGCTTTGTTTACGGTCCCATTATTGTATAACATATACAAATACAAATGTAACATTATATTTATATAACTGAACATACGTTTTAAAAAAATGTAATAAAAAAAAGAAAAAAAATATCTCAGACTATTGTTAAATTTAATTTAGTTATTATACATAATACGAATGTTAAAAAGGTATAATAATCATAAGAGATAATTAATTATCTTGATATCTGGCCTTTTTAATATCGGTGCAACTTAAATGTTATTATGATTGAGACTATTCCACCAATCTAATACTACAAAAAGTCCATATATATTATTTTTATATTTATGAATATATATATATATATATCGTGCATGACTAAACAAGTACATATAATGGTAACTACGTTGTGAAACTTGCTTGATTGTAATGCGTAAAATTATAGTTAAAAGAGCATAATAACCAAAGGTATTGGCATAACAAAATTGGATTCTCCTGTTTGTTATTATTATTTTTTTCTGCATTGAATTCTCATTTTGTTGTAATTTTTACTTGTTAATAATCCAGGGCCCATGGTAATTCATAGGGAAATTTGTGTGAGATTGAAAGAAATTGAGAGAGATTAAGAGAGTTTGTGTGAGGAAAATGTGTGAGGGATGAGGGGTATTTATAAGGAAATTTTTTGGTTAAAAAATTGATTTTGTTTTCCTTAAATTCGGATCCAACGGTTATTTTTTGTCTCGACGGGTCGGGTTTGGGCCGAAAATCGGGCAACGGTAAAGAAAAAAAAAGAAAAAAGAGAGAGCCGTTGGAGTTGGGCAGTTCTGGCTTCGGGTCGGGTCGGGCGCCAACGGTCTGAGCCCAAAAATGGAGTTGGACGGTCTGGCATTTGGGCCTGCCTGCTCAGCTCGAAAAATTTAGGCTTCGGACAGGCCCGCCAGCCCAAAGTTCCAACACTAACAAAACTCGAATTCTAAACTCAAAACGGTGAAATGAATGGGGCCTAAGAAGTAAAAAACGAAACCTTATGCAATGAAGGACAAAATGGTCTATTTACATAAATAAAAACTTGATCCATGGCATATTTTGTAATAGTTTTACTGTTTCTGGTATAACTCAATCCACAACTGCTTTTTGTGGTACTCTTCCTGATTATCTCGCCAGAGTAAGGCTGGGGCCAAGCCTAAGAAAGAACATCCAGCGAAACGACATCGCAGATGAAACACTGTGATCGACAATGTCGAAAAGGACCTCAAAAACTGCAAGTTATATGAAGAAACGACAACTCATAGAAACGACCTCGGATAATGAAAGCAACAATATAAAAAAAACATCAACATAACCAAATGATAAGATGTTTTTTAAAAAACCTATATATTCGTATGACGAGGATAACAAATATAAAAAGTACTTTAAATAAAGAAAATAAATAAAGAAAATAAAAAGTAACTACAAACGACTAGAATATTAACGTTTTCACTCTACAGTGGTGGAGCCAGCCATTGAATTCAGTGGGGCATATACTAATTCTTTATTTTTTTTTAGAAATAACTAACAAAAAAAATATAAAATGACTAATTTTAAATTGATCCCTGAAAATAACAATTGTCTTATTTTATCAATACAACTCAAAATGACACAAATTTTTTTTTTGAATTGTAAATTTGATACTTTTGACAGTAGGGCATCAATATTTCAATAATTTTAATCATATGTGGCTCACATGAGTACTTTATAAAGGAAAATATAGTAAATTTAAACAAAATGAACCTTAAAATTTCAAACAATCTAAATAAGACATAATATCAAAAAAATCATAAAACATACAATGAGATTTTTATGTTTTGAAAATACCACATAATATCTTCATTTTAGGGGGGTTAATATGAGATTATTAATTTTGAGTGGGGACAAAATAAGAGAAGTAGAAATTTTAAAGTTAAAATTAAAACGAAAAAAGTCAATGGGAGCAGCCCCACTTGTCCTATAAGCTTGGCGGCTTCGCCACTACTCGGACTAACTAAACAAGATGTCACATTTAAGGACGTGACTTTCCACTTTATGTTAAAGTTAAACCACATTTAGTACGTCATAACTCCATCATAAAGTATATTGTAGAGTTCAAATATTTCCGTTCAAATTGAAAGGAAAAATAATGCATACATATTTATAATAATGCGTGCACATACATACTTATTATATATATAAATTAGAGTTTCCTTCCGATCACTTTCAAAAAATTGGTATGTATTTAGTCCCAACTTGCTATCCTTTTTTTCTTTTTCCTTTGTTAAGGGTATTAATAAGACGGTTTATGAAGGAATGGATTTTATATTGTATAATAATATTTTTGATTACTTATTTCATTATGCCTCTAAAATACAAAAAATATGATTCAGGATCTCAAAATTCAGACTGAATAAATCAAAAGATACAAATTCATAAATATGAGTCTGTTAAGAACTCATGATTAAGATCGTTCTATATGTGACCATCAACAGACTCAATTAGAATTTTTATACTTAACCGAAAATTATCAGAAATTCATATTGTGTTTGTGTCCCTGTTTCACATAATCTCATTATGCGAAATACACTCATTCAATATCTTATAATATTAACAGTGCGGATAACACCGTTCCATTCTAAATGGGAATGATCTGTATTAGTAATGTTTTAATTAAAGATTCTGAACTTTAATTAAATTCATTACGAATATCATTTTGATTATTATCCTTAAATATTATCCTCTCGCATATAACATTTATATACAATATTTAAGGTCACATAAATAATCATTGAATTTTCACTGATATTCATAAAATATTCAAAAATATATGCACATAAAATAATAAATAAACTATTTTATTAAATAAATAATAAATATCCTATTACATCTCATATTTTTAGGACACCATTTCTAACCGTACATATATATATATATATAACGTTAAGTACGTATTTTGTAAAGCTCTTGTCGTTTTTATTTTATTTTTTAAAAAACTAAAATCATACACAAGATAAGAAAGGGGGAGTAGTCCTTCCCAAAATCAAATATCCTATATATAAAAATGTCAATAGGCTTCACTAATTTCGACCAAAACGACGTAGTTTTGATCGAAAATCACTCTCTGTTCACTTTTTCCTTTTTTTTTTTTTAATGTTTTTCTTTTCTTTTCATTTCGAGAAACCATTTACTGTTCAGATATTTTTTCAACTAAAACGGCGTCATATGAATGCCTTGACTGTAGTTGTTTAAGAAAAAATAAATTTAGCGCATATTACCAATACAGATACATAATACTATATATATATATATGTATGTATCTATGTACATTAACATAAAGGACGTATTTTGTAAAGCTCTCGTCATTTTTATTTTCTTTTTAAAAAAACTAAAATCATACATAAGATAAGAGAGGGGGAGTAGTCCTTCCCAAAATCAATCCCCTCCAAATGAAAGATACGTGGGGAGGAAATTATAACACAGTAAAATAAATACAAACATAATTTATAAGCCAGACACTATATATATATATATATGTATATATATAAAATATGTTAAAAGTCCCAACACTAACAATCACATCAATATTGCAGAGCTAAATTGGATCTAGACTAGAGAGGGTATCAATAAGTTTATGCTTCCAATGGAGCCCTTAGAAAACGCCAAGGTCCCGTTCCAGTTCCCATCCTGCAAAAGTAACGGCAACCCATTTAATCAAGTACTTCATATAAATTAACTTTTATTTTTATTTATTTTTATTACAAGTATAAAATTTTTCCCAAAAAAAAATAAAAATAAAAAAAGTATAGTATTAAATGGGGTATTACATATTCATGATTTTACTTAATGACAATCTTACAAATATACTAGACATTAAAAATAGTAATTTAAATAAAAAAAAAAAATTACCTCCATACACCAGCAAAGGTGCGAAGGCCCATATAGATGGTGAGAGCAATCCAAATTCCAACAAAACCTTTGCTTTTGTCGAGCATAATTAAGGATGTAATGCTTGCTATGGCCACAAGGACCTGATCATTAAAACAAGAAAAATTGGACATCAGCATATACATACATACATATATATATATATATATAAGTTTAAATGGTACTGAAAATGGATTATTATAGTCTATTGGATTTGTGTGGACGAAAGGGAAATAGTGATATAAGTTGTGTACCAATGAGTATGCAGAATATGCAAAGTCAGATGCTCCAAAGTTCACTCCATCAAAGACAAACGACAATGAATTGATGGGTTGTGTAGCTGCAACAAACTGTTTTCGGCAAAATACAAGGATAATTAAGATCTGGTTAATAAAATAATATTAAAATCATTACAATATTTACAATTTAGAATATTTCTTGTTTCTTAAATTTGATTTCGTGGTAGGATTCAACCCCGTCGGATTGAATATCACTTTTTTTTTTTTTTTTCCAAAAATACCCAATTAGAATTATAAAGGTGGTGACAGATCATATCAAAATTATGTTTAAATGATAAGGTTATAATTTAAAAGAACAAAATGGAAATTGAACAGTCGAGAACTTTGCATTATTGGCAGGGTTAACCTATAAAATAAATGTAGAAAGATAAGAAATAAAATTTTACCGGAAGGCCAATTCTAATGAGGTGCAAAACGTGGACATCTCTGGAGAAGATTCCAGCTCCAAAATACAAACCAACTCCTACTACAAGAGTGAGCCCCAGACCTAGAACAAAACTCATCTGCAGTACCCAAAAAAAAAAAAAAAAAAAAGTCCCTTTCATTATATGTATAATGATCAATATTGGTTGTTCCTTTGTAGTTTGTAATAATGCTTTACTTACAAGCTTTATATATTCCTTTTTCTATAAAAAAAAAAAAAAAAAAACTTTATTTATATATAATAAAATCTGTTATTTTATAGTACCTGTACTACACGACTAGCAGCAGCTGTGGCCTTCTTATAGTCTTTCTCAGCGAATGAGCAAGCTAGAACGGCCTATTACATAAGGCAAATTAACAAAGAACATGTTATGGCATGAAAAAATATAAAATAAAAAACTTTTGAATCAGTTGAGAGAGTTTAATTAGTAGTACTATTTTTATTAGTCATTAGAAAGACGTGTTTCTTTGTGGCAATGACTAAAGTTTTTACCTGAACGGCGACGGCCAAACCGTCGGCGAGAAGAGAAGATGTCATCCAGACCTGCAAGCAAGTCTGGAATGCCGCCATGGGAGTTGCTCCGAGCCTCGCAGCCAAAGACGCGGCCAACGTCACACAAAACGTCACGGCTATCACCCTTGCCAACAAGAAAAAGCCTGCAGTTCCAAAAAAATTAACCATAACAATCAAAAATCAAGAAAAACATTAGTCTCTTCTAAGTAACTGTGGAGTTCAATTTGGCTGCTAATTAGTATTAATTAATTACCGTTTTTGAGAAACCGGCCAAACTGCAAATCTTTTAGACTTGGGGGTAAAAGGTCAACTTTTCTCATTAGTATTAAGAAGAGGACTAGCGCCATCAAGTACCTGAAATGATATAATCATCAAATATTAGAACTGCTATATTATATATAGCGTAATTAAGTTTTGTCATACGTACGGTGCTAATTAAAAAGCAGTGCGTAGTTAAATTATAATTACATTTTGTTAGCCAAAAATATATCACCAATACCATTACAAGGAAGGACTCTACTCACTGAGAAAGAACATGAGCAATGGCTGCACCTCTGATCCCCAAACCGCAGACGAAGATAAGCAGCGGGTCGAGGGCGATGTTCAATGCGTATCCACAAACTGTCATAAGTAGTAGTTAAGACCAGATTAGTGAAGATTGGAAATGGATTGTGTTCAGGAAAAATTGAGACAGTTTTCTAATATATATGTTAAAAAGAGGTAGATACCAATGACATATAAAGGAGTTGTTGTGTCCTTAAACCCTCTAAAAATCCCTTGCATGGCCAAAGTTAGAAGAACTGCCGGGGCACCAAATGATCTTGTTACCAAGTACTTCTCTGCTGGGGCTAGCATGGGAGAGTTCTATATATTCAACCAAAAGATCGAGAGAATCTTATTAATTCTGTCATCACAATATATATATATATATATATATAACTCATAATTTTTGTATGTCCCAATTAAAAGAGAATAGAGATTATTACATATTGCATCAAATATTTGAGTCAAAAGAAGGAGCAAACTGTTTGTGTAATATTGAAAAAACAAAACTTACATGTTTGACTCCCATTACACCCAGGAGAGTTCTGGCTCCAAACATTAGGAAAATAGCCTGCAAAAGGCCGAGTATTACACCGAAAATGAGTGCTGTGGATGCTGAAGCAATATGTCTCTGTCCCTTGTGCAGTTTGGCTTTCTTCTCGACGTTGCTGCTATTCGTCACCAAAGGAAACTCGCGCGCTGTGGTTCGCATTAGAAAACCAATCAAGAAATCACCCAAGAAAAATAAACAACTTTCAAATGACAACAAATGAATACATCAGTGAAAGGGCAAAAGAAAGAGTACCAATATTCTCTGGTGCCGAATCTTTTGAATTAGTGGTGTCTTTTGCATTCTCAAGTTTGTCATCTCCATTAGGCCCCTTCTCAACTACTCCTTCCTTGGCCGCGCCTTTCTCCAAGCCGTCGAGCATTTCGTCTTCTAAATTTTCAACTTGGCCCGCTTTCATTTTCATATTGGCAAAAGTGTCTTCCTCAGCAACAAAGGAGGTTGTGATGCTGACGAGTGGGAAAATGGTGATCCTTGATGCTTGGTTGAACAACGCGATGGACACCCCGGCGGCTGCAAGCTCCACGGGTCCTGTAAACAAAAACACAACATGATGAAAATCCGAGAAAAAGAGTATTTTCATTTTAAAAATCAAAATAGATCATAGAAACACAATTAAACAAACAAAAACTATACCAATATGGCCAATGAATGCAGTGTCAATTAGTGAAGCTATAGGATCAGCAGCCACAGCCAATGCCGCAGGGACGGCCATTCCAAGTATCTCCTTCCCAAGTGAATCCCATTTGAAAACAAGCCTGATAATCACATTCGTTTAACAACAATTAATCATCCACTAATCAATATTATTAACTTGGGTTACAGCATTATATAACTTAGCGGTAAATCCACACTCACACCCTTTAATCTATATCCATATCGATAATCAAAACAGATTCAAAACTTTACCTTGCATCTCTGAAGAACACACCAACAGGCAAATTCCACTTGCTCTTTGTTATTTGCAAATTATCTCCATTGTCGGCCATAAAGTTATAAGATGTCTTTCAAAGATTTAATCTTCAACTCTATATATACTGGAGAGTTTAAAGAGGATAAGAACAAGATTAACTTAAAAGAGGTGTAAAAAAAGATGAGATTAAGCATTCAAATTACATGGCAATGCATGCATGACAAGTAGTACTTTTCTCAGAAGAGATCACTAAATGAGGCGATAAATTAATATCAGAAGAAATAATTGCTTCACCAGAGAAAAAGTAACCGTGCTTTTGAATAGCAAAGTTAAAAAGATTTATCAGAACTTGTATAATCAAATTATGCTGTATTTGGAGAAGAAAAGTACAAAAGTGAAATCTGAGAAATACCGCCCAGGAATGTGACACGACTCGCGAGGTACAAACACGTAAAAACATTGTACAAATCAAAAGGAAAATTCATGGTTTTATAAATCTTTGTTAGAGTACAACCTTCCTCAGTTATGCTTAAGTTTAACTGTGCACAAACATCATTGAATAGTAGTATTCTCCAACGTAATTTTGTCTTTGCTTAAAATACGGCCGGACATGATGGCATGGCTTGGAGTGATTTGGGATACAATACTAAAAAGCATAAGCAGTGTTCACACTCTCTATTAATTATGGTGCTTAACACTAATAGAACGTGGGGTCCACTCTCTATTAATTCTGGTGCTTAACATTAATGGTGTTCCTAAGTATTTTTCACTACTTATCGTCAATGGTATTACATCACTGTGTGCACCTGTGTAGTGTTAATGTATTCACATATATACTGTAATGTAATTTTCATGATTATAATGAATAATAAATTTTCTAATATAAATCATTAAAATGCAAACAATATTATAAGGCACATGTGGTGTAGAACACTACACACGATAAAAGACGGGGTTTGTAACATATGGCCCGTAGATGGGCACCACATTCTATTAGTTGTGGTGTCCTATTGTGTGTTTTTTCCCATTTTTTTGGGTGGTTATAATCCATTTCTTTTTGTTTCTTTTGCGCAAGTCATTGTAGTAGGAATGAGAGTTCATTAGAATATGTGGACTTTGAATGAGTTTGGAAAGTGGTCTCAAGTAAAACGGGTAGTACTTATTGGACTCATAGTCTAATAATAATATATAGTAATAGAAGATTTGGAAACATGGCAAATCAAGATTCAAACATGGACAAAAATTTAGTTAGGCCATACATAATATATATATATATATATATATATAACAGTACATATATATGAATAGGATATAATATTGGGAAGATCAACTTAGATATGGCATGAACCTCCCTTGGTTCAGTAGTCCCCTGATAATTTCATAAACTGAATATTATTAAAGAAATGTATAGCTTCTAGGTAGCTCATCTAAGACCAACATCGGCCAAGCTTTTTCAATACATCTCTCAAGGAAAATCACGTATGAAAAGAGTTACTTTTCTTTGTCGATATATATGTCTATATGAACCTTCCTCTGAAATTAAAGAAGATTATTCCCATCTCTTCAAAATTAGGTTCTAATAAATAGTAAAAAAAAATAAATTACTATTTTGTGCTATGATATGTACATTCAACTATCTTATAGATTTTTTTTTTAATCTATTAATCTTTTACCATAGAATCAGAGTGGACCAGTTGTTCACTTAATTAAATAATATAATGAAAAATAAGAACTAAATTAGACTGGCAGTAATCACGTATTCAACATTAATTGAGAATAATTAAAAAGAAAACAATAATAAAGAAGACTTAGAAAAGGGGTAGCAAGAGAAATGGTAGATTGTCATCAATATATGATACATGCATATCATGACATGACGTGTGGATACGACATGATTAAGTTAAAACGACGGAAATACAATTAATATATATAAGTCCGAGAACAAAATGCTACAAGTATGTATATATAGATATATATATATATATATATATATATTGCATTATTATTGATCTCAAATGAAGTTCCTAAGAAAGATCATATCTTGAACTGTAATTTGTCCTTTTATATAAATGTCTAATATAAAGAGCTTGGAAACTTCGTCAGTACTGAAAGTGAATAATAAACAAATTATATAGAACATATACGGAAATATATATAATATTTATAGATTACCTGTCCCAGGTACTTCTTATACCATCCGGATTCTCAAATGCATGTACTGTATATGAAGAATATTAATATCTATGTGTACTCCTAATAATTATGAAAACCAATAAAAAAAGTTTCAAAAGTTGAGGGCTGTTCGACAGCTTTTTTTTTGAGTTAAAAATTTTAAAAAAATAACTCGAGTTACAACTTTATTTAAATTCATGTTTTTTTAAGTTTAAACTCGAGTTTGAGACTATTACTCGAGTTCAAGTTTCCCCTTCAACTCGAGTTCAGAAACTCAAACTCAAATTAATAAACAATATTTTTTTTATTTTTAAAAATGCTATAACTTTTTCGTTTTAATTCTGATTGAAATGATTTTTTTTCTATGCATTGACAACAAAAAGACGAATAAAACCCCACCCATATATCCTATTAAAATTTTCCATCAGCATTGAGTTTTTATTAAAATACTATCTAAATACAAATTCAAGTTTGGACTCACTCAAACACAAACTCAAAAAGATTCTTATCTCAAACCATAACTCAAATGTACACGACCAAACACAAACTCAAGTTACAACTTCAACTCAAGTTATAAGTCAAACTTAACTTAAAATCTACACTCAAGTCACCTAACTCAAAAAGGGTAAAAGAACAACCCCAGTGTTTTGGATCCTGAGTGAGCAATATACAGAAGAATTTACGATTTCTAGAAACAAAATCATGTGGCCACTCCACTGCAGACAACAGAGAAACCATTATCACTTCCTTCCTTTATAAAATTTTAAATATTTATATTGAGTCTACATACACACACAATTATCTTCTGAACTTGTCGTAATTTAGCAAATTATCCTAAACTTTCAATTTTGAAAATCAACTCTTGGAACTTATAAAATTGTTACAATATACCTCATTTTACTAAATTTGTTTCAAATTTTTTATTAGATTTAAGGGATTAAAATTGAGGAATAAAAAATTTATGTTACATTTGAATTTATCACGTTAGAATTTTTCGTCGAATACATTTTTTCGACATTAATTTCACACAATCTTCGTTCAAAATAGGACATATTATAACAATTTTACAAGTTGAGAGAGTCACTTATCAAAATAAAAAATTTAAAGAATCACTTGCTAAAGCCGTACAAAATTAGAGATTAATGTGTAAAATAACCTCTATATGTATATATTGAGTGCTCCAAGTCATATAAAAAGGTATTCCAGTTAGCAAACTAAGTACTTGTTTTCGTATTTCTTAAGCACCGACTTAATTATAGGATTGCGTGATCATTAACTTGTGGCAAAAACTTCGCATACTTGGAAAACTAGTCTAATTTGCTAGCTAGACAGCCAAATATTGATAAAGATCAACAAAAAATGAAAATGATGTAAGATACATATATAAATGAAGGAAATATATAGAAGCATACGAGTGTACTAGTTCCACTAGTAGCTAATTGGGGATATATAATATGTACTACTTGGAGAAACTAATTGTGATATGGATTGCACCAAGTTATAATTATCAAATATATTGGCAATGAGGATAAAATACAGAGCAATGAAAATGGAGTAGGTGGTGATCCACACACATACACAAATATATATATATATTATATCCGTACCAAGACAAAATTGTTATTTTCTTTGCAAATAAAATCACCAGATTTAGCGAAGTCCACCCCACCACCGTACTTGTTTGGGGTAGTGAAAGAGTTGTCAGCAATCAATCGGCAATATTAATTGGATTCTACCACTAGATTAGCCAAATAAAAAAAAGGGAAAAAAAAGTGTACCACTAATTTAGTGTATTCCCATAATCTAGTCATGCAATTATAATCAAATTCCCATCGGAAATTTATGATGTAAGGTCATAATATAGAAAATTTAAACGACGAACTTCAAGCTCCAAATAACTATGAGTAATTATATATATCGATTAGATCGTTTATTTTATATTAGAAGAGTTATAGTAATGCAATATGCATGCATGCTTATCATATGCATCAGAGAAGCGTAACATGAAAACCATAAAATCAGTCAACAAATGAGTTTCGTGGTGATGAATATGCATGTATATATATATATATATATGTATTGTATCTATATGTATGTATGCGAGATATATATTAGAAAAAAAAAAAGCATAGGGATCAAATGAGCTTCGGAAGCACTTCTGCAAATAATTAAGGAATATGGAGAAGAACGAATTAAGCTGATCATGCAGTATTATAACTAAATGATTATCATAACTCACAATTTTACGAGTGATATAAACTAGTCAGAAGTACTTAATGTGATATATATATATATATATATATGTGTGTGTGTGTGTGTGTGTGTGAAAGAATCAACGTGTGCATACCTTTAATATGCCTTTGTTACGTCCTCTGGGAAGAGACGTCCTCTGGGAAGAGATTAGCAAATTCAAAGCTTTTCTCTTGCTCTATCAACTTTGGCTCGCTCACAATGCAGCGAATTCTACCAACAACACTTGGGCTTTATAGGTGCTCTTTTCCTTTGCTCCTCTTAAAGACTTTAACCATTAAGAAAATTAAAGGCATAAGCAAGAGAGAGAGAGAGAGAGAGAGAGAGAGAGAGAGAGAGAGAGAGAGAGAGAGAGAGAGAGAGAGAGAGAGAGATGTGACACAAAGTTTTCATGATCCTTTAACGAGACTCCTTTTATTTTTGTTTTTATTTTTATGCGATAGACACGAAAATTGAGAATAATTTAAGAACCGATAAGAGGTTATTATTAATCTTAATATAAAAAGGGTTACTAATCTCTTTCCCAATTTTTTACGACAAGAAGAAGGGTATCTAGTGTGACAATGACATGAATCTAACTTTACAAAAATATAGCATGAATAATCCAGGGCAAACCCACTTACAATTTAAAATACTAATATTAATATGAATCTAAATTTTTCATAAAATTTTCAGTTGTGCTCTTAAATATTATGAAAAAAATTATAACTACAATTATGGTTAAAAAAATTATTATTATATAAAATAAAATAAAAAACTTCGAGTACAGTAAATAAATTATTGGCTCTGTCAATGTATAACATAGCAAGTCATAGAAGCAGCTCAATTTCACAGTGAATATAAATTCCCCAAGCTATATTATGCTAATTATTAAGCTTGGAAAGATAGAGAATATTGTACTAGCAACTGCTACGTACTTTTCGACAAGGACAAGTGTTTGAGTAGGTAGCAATCAAAACTTCTTCTTCTTCTTCTTCTTCTTTTTCTTTTTTTTCTTCCAAATGGGGGCTACGTTGGATTCCCAATACCTCATGACCGGATTGGAAATGCAAAGGCAGTCAGTCTCCTAACTTATAATATACCTAATTTGACCCTTTAGCTATACATTAATTTGTTTCTTTTTAATCATTGCCATTGAAGTAGTAGTACTGCAGGTTACGAGTCACAACACCAATTGTTTGTTGATTATTATCTTATTTTCATATTAAGACGGCGTCATGAGGTGTTAAAGCTATATATATATATATATATATGTATATGTGTATGTGTGTATGTATATGTGTATGTATGTATATATATGTGTGTGTGTGTAATGTGTATATATGTATATGTGGTTTAGTAATTCAATTTTCCAATACACACACATACATGCATGTACATCGCATATATATTTTGTAAAACACTGATATAAGGCATTTCTAATGTATGACCATCATGTGAGCCAACACATCATTACCAAATTAACCTAATTACGTTTGGTTCCTTAATTGCTAATGGTATATTTCATGAATGAGAAACTCAACTATGTTTTATTTTGTGTGTGTGTGAGAGAGGGAGAGCATTTTCCAAACATGAGAGAGAGAGAGAGAGAGAGAGAGAGGGCATTTTCCAAACATGAAAAATGCACGTACGAAGTGTTTTGGAGCATTTTGCAAACATGAAAAATGCACGTACGAAGTGTTTTGATATTTGTTTGCACATACAAACAACTTTTTGCATAGTGACATGAATAGTCCCAAAAAAGTAATGACCTTATCATAGTACCACGAATAAGAAGTAATTAAAATGAAATTGGGTGTGGCCAAAAACTAAAGTGGCCTGCGTTTGCTTTTCTTAATTAGTGCTTGTTTGCACCAATATATATATATAATTCTACGTTTGGCTTTCATCAGCTTTAAAGCTAATAGTGGGAAAAAAAAAATACACGAGATAAATATCAAATTTCAATCTCTTAAAAATATCTAGATTTTTCAAATTACCATATCCAAATATAGCATGAAAATTACCATCCCTTTCTCATGCATTATAGTACGCTTTCTGAAATAGATCCAAGTATAGAAGGAAAAAGCACTGGATTTTAATCTTCCGTTTTTCAAAATGACACAATGTTTCATTACACAGAAAAATAAAAAATAAAAAATAAAATAAAGCTTCTAGAATTCTAACTTGATGAAGCGCATTTTTTTCCTTTTCTTTTTCTATCAAAGAGAAAGTTCTAATAAGACATGTAATGATAAATATATGTACGAAACTAGAACCCACTTTCGTGTGGAAGCCACAATATTGGCACGCATGGTTCAATTAAACTAAGAAGATAAATTCCACTTTCGCGTGGATGCCACAAATGCTACCTTTCTCGACTACATTGAAAAGATGACCACTATATATTCTTATATATATCTTCCTGAGTAGTAGAACTTTTTTTTTTTGTCTTACAAAATTATTTGTCCTATAATTGACTCGTTAATTAAAAGCCTTCAAGTTAATTAATATTATTAAATCCTAATGATGTCTACACTTCCCACTTAATCACGATATATAATAATGTGAGAGGTAGAGATAGGTATAGAGCTATAGCTTATGACATATTCCTTTATATTCAGCTTATGATGCTGATGAACACACACATACATATATATTTAGTTCTTTATTCTTAGGGTCTCTTTGGTACGAGAGTTTAAGTAGTTTAACCTCGAGATTTTAATTCAAATCATTATTTGTTTACAAAAAATAAAAAGTAGTTTGAACTTTTGATGTGACATTTAAACCACATAAAGCAAAGGATTTCTAAAGTTAGCTCCCCTTGGATTCTCATCAAACTCCACAATTTAAAATCCACAGGGTTTAAACTCAAAAATTCAAACCACTCTAATTTGAATCTTCATACTAAACAAACACTTAGGGGGCGTTCACTTCGTAGATCACACTTGAGTAAGCCTAACTCGAGTGTGGAATTAGGCTGAGTTTTGCGTTCACTAAACGCAACTCCAATTTCAAGTTCGAGTAATAACTCGAGTTGGTGAGTTTCACTCATCCCCGTTTTCCATTTCTTGAGTTTGGTTTTACAATGCGGATTCCCTCTGATGACAATAGTCTTTTTAGTGTACCACAAAATCAAGTTAAAGAAAGGGGCTCAAATGAAGTGTGTGGCTGTGTAAGTATAATACATGATATATGTGATAAGTGCATGCTAGCTTGCATAGTGATATGTGGTCTCAAAAAATACAAGCTATTGATCAACTTTTAATATATAACATGTTTGTGTGTTAGAGATAGAAATTGCCCCATCCAACAATATCCTTGTTGCTCTTTCTGTAGAGATAACATTGTTTAATTTTAATATTCTCATTGTACGTTTATGCAACATGATATGAACTAATTTGCATTTTTGTAGTTCTCTTCCCACTATATATTTATTCCATTCATCACAAAGTTGACAACTACATCAAATCACAACAAATTAGTGGCATGCACTTATATCCTTTTGTTAATATTGTTGTGTCATTTGTATATTATAATGTTGATGCACTTTTTAATTCCCTTTTATTATAAGTGTTATAAAAGTTGATCGCACTACTTACTCTTTGTCGTTGAATAATTAAGAAGCTTTTAAATTTTAGACAAGATTTCGCTTAGAGAAAGGTACGTAAATATTAGGTCAATTCATCTGCAAATATAAGGAGTACTGCCTTACGTAATGAATACTAGCTAGATATTGTTTTCTTCAATTACTTATACATACTTTTTTTTTTGCTTGAATACTTATTTTTTTATGGTTTCAATCAGTAGTTACTCATTAAATATCAAAATTTGATTGGTGTAATAAGAATACAATCTCATTAACTATTAATTTTATTTTCTCAATTATCCAAATTATTACAATCATCATATCAATATTATACGGTTAAAATAATAATACTCACAAATGAGTAAATATTAGAATAACTCTTTAAACCTTCATAAATATATTTAATATATATATACATATATATATATATATATATATATATATAAAGAGTGATTCTTTCCAGTTTCCATTTTCGGTCAATGATCATGAAAAAATAATATCACTGGTAATACCGTTAAATTTTGGATATTCATGTTCAAGCACTAATTGGTTTATTTATGTATTTTTAATCCATACAAAGTACTTCAAATTGTAGCTTCTAGCTAGCAACATGCGCGCATTAGAAATATGTAGGGCCAACTAGTATCCAGAATTGATCAAATAATTATGTTACTATATTCTCATTATACCAAGATTGCTACTTAATCAGGAAAGTATAGCGTGCTCTGGTTTGCTTAATTTGCATTGAATAATTGCTGCTTATTGCAGAAGTAAGTGAAAATGCTACATGCATGTACTTTAATATGAAAATGCCATTAGTTACTTAATAAATTTATTAGAGATCCGCACAACACCACTAGTATTAATTAACACTTCCATTGAAGAACAACTATATTACAAATTATGCATAAAAAATAATTTTGTCTTTTAATATATGTGTCCTCTTTTCTATTTATATATATATATATATATATATATATATGTAAATGAAGAAGATCGACAACTGGTATTCATGAAAACTTAAGAATCCCATCCATCTAACACTAAGTACCTAACTCAATTTAATTAGTAAATAAAAGAGAATGAACAACAGCATTAGAGTAACCCCACAGCTGACTAGTTACTACAATTCACTTACCATAAGCATGTAAGTAGCAATATTACAAAACAGTGTGCTTTGTAGATCTTTGGTTATTATTTTTTTGTACCACTTTTTGTTAGAGTCATTTCATGATCTCATTCTCTATATATAAATTCATCCCTGTTTTATACATACATATATATATATATATCATATTAATTTTTTACATTATTTCTCTCTTTTCCTTTAGCTCATGATGACCAACACTTAGTAAAATTGTCCTTTGAGCTAGATTTGACATGCATGTTGGCGCATAGCACACTGATAACTTGGATTAATAATGCATGAATTCAATATAGGTTCAGGTTCTAATTACTTGGGAAAAATGTTGTTTAGCTAACATGAACATTACGCTCTACTTGTTTTGCCTCGAAAAAAATGGACACAGATTTGGGAGAAAAATGTAAAAAAAAAAAAGAAAAAAAAAAGAGAAGAAGATTAATTTAAATACCTAAATGTCTTTTACGCGGGAGTTTTTCCTCATTTTGCACATTTTACTCTGCAATACTTTTATGTCATCTCAAAAGACCATCTGCGCGGTTACTTTACGCACGTACTGCACATTGTACGCGCGAGGACTTTTAGCGACAACAAATTATCGCTAAAAGGGCGGACCATTGTTTTGTTACGACCACTGACCCACAAAAGCATGTCGTCACTACAAGTATTTTTTTAGCGATGACAAAAAGGTGTTGCCGTTATTGTCCACGTTTCTTTTAGTGGATATTGATAACGGTTGTAATAAATTAGATAGTTAATTTAAAAAAATTTATTACAATTAATAAAATTGAATTCTTATCACGCCACAAAAGTAAATTTTCATATATAACAATTAAAAACTCGTCCATATATACATATGTATCATGTACATATATGCATTTGATCTTATATTGGCCACTAGTCTCATCACTTTTTGGCTTTCTGGCCAACAAGATGTTTATATATATGGTTACATATAGCAGCGTAGGGTGGTTCAAGAAGGAGGTCACTATCTAGCAATTTGAGATCACTAATCAGGTTTATTTATGCTGGAAACTTTTAATGCAGATTTAGGTAGCCAATCAAAGAAATATCTAGCCAATATTATACAAAGTATTGCATGTGGCACCTAATTATATCGCTGTCATTGACGAAATTTAAATGGTGTCTTGCTTATATTAATTGATTATTATTTTCTTAATAACATATATATAGCGTATTATGCATGGAAATACATATTAAGCTTTTGAGAATAATTAGTAGTATATATAGTAAGAAAAGTTCAATTGCTAGGCCAATATTCAAGAAGAGAGATAAGTATAAAATTTTACATGGGTTTTGATTGGATATTCCTTTTTATTATCATGTCTGCCACAAGATGGTATATTGTAACAACATAAGGATGGCAACATGAGCACTTATTCACCCACTAATTATAATATGCAAGCTTACGATCAGGATTTTTTGGTTGGTTGATCAGTTTTGGGATTACTATTAAAAAGTGAATTACTTAATTAGGTTTGTTGTTGGTACATGCATGTTTGGTTTTCTCTTTTGTTAGTGTAGAAATTGAAAAATAATGAAGATAATACTTGTTATAATGAACAACACTACCAATTAAACAATGCGTGAATGCTTGAGAGTGAAATAGGGAATTAGTGCAGCATATAAACCTTTGCTAATATAATAGCGTCATCGTTAAAATTTGTTTAAAATCTTATATTGACCCACAAAATCGATCTTGTTTTATTTTATTTTATTTTTCTTAGCATTAATTCCTTGAAAATATATTATTACCTAGTGAGATCGATGCTTAATTAATTGATTGTTTCGATTATGTGTGTGTGTGTGTGTGGTGCATATATACTGTACGTGTACAGCACACAAACAAGTGATTCAGGTTCGAATTTGTATACATGTATGTTTCTCGTACTAATAAATGACATAACGTTTCGTTTCGTTTAGTTTGTATAAGAAACGATACGCTTAAATGTGTCGTTTGGAGATCTTACTTACTAGTAATGAAAACATATTTGCTTTTTTGGTAGCACTAATCAAGACATACATATATTATTGTGCTTTTATAGATGACTCGATCGTTTTCAGTTATCCAAACAGACATAAGATATTATTTGGAAATCCATCCAATATTTCCTTATATATATATATATATATTGAAATTTGTCCCAGCTCCATGAATGTCTCATAAATAATGTGATGATGATGATGATGATGATCATGTGATAGTAGTGCATGTACTATTGTAGAAGTGAGTTGGGTGCGTTTTATCGTAAGGCTTGTGAAGAAGCAACAAACAACGAGCATGGTGATGGAATTTGGGGTGAATAAGATTCATGACCACTCGAAAACTTGAGCTCAATTTCACACCAATCATCAATGGCATTCCTTGTCCTGACTCCAACATGTCCTCCATCTCTCTTCCTGCTCCGTACAATGCCTTGTTTTTTGTTCCTATGTACAACGGGAATGCCGTTACCCCACTCTCTGCGTATAGCTTTCGAGGACCCTACAAATTAAATTAATTAAAACATGCATGTATGTATCACATTGCCTAATATATACTAGTATATATGAGGATAATTAATATTATAAGGTATATATATTCATTTATTATTATACCACGTAATAAGACAACACTATGGCTATTGATAAAAGGTTTTTAATAAGTATGGTTTATGTTTAAAAGAATACGAAATTTTTACGGTGGAAAATGTTATTTTGCTCTATCGGTAAGAACTATTATTTTTAACCGTTTAGATTTGTGCATGTTTGTATTAAAAATTTACACTGCACGATACAAACTTGTTCCTGACTAATCCGACTATTAAAACACAATTTTTACCGGTGAAGCAAAATAGCATTCTCTACCGTAGTATACCCGTAAAGAATAATGGGAGTTACTTACATGTGCAAAAGCAAAAATTAGGCGCTGAAAGGAGATTTCCATGGATGGAGGATGAACATGAAGCCCAAAGAGCTTAGATTTGTTCTCTATTATTAGATTGAGAGAAAAATTGCAAGTCAATATCTTTGTTGTAACACCTGAAGCGTCCACTCCTTCCCCTAGCACAAACTCACCAATTTTCCCCATCTGCAAATAATGCCAATCACATATATATTATTTTGGTTAGAATTGATAGTCAAATCAAATGAAACGCAAGCATTGGGCCCTGTATATGACTGCATCTTGCACATATTTTTGAGGCCCAAACTGAATTCACATTGGGCCTAATAGTATTATGAGGCCCTTATATTAAAGAATAAAGTTAATTACACATATGTCTATTTTACCATGGATGAAAAAAAGAATGTCCACAAGTTGTTATATTTGCATATAAATCTGTAGGCTAACTCATAATGACATTTTTATCCCTAGTTAATCACCTTTCAAAATCCATTATACAAATTCACAACCACTCAGATAAAAAGAATATATTTGAAATTATATAATATCAATAACCATAAAATGGAAAAATTGATAGTATTTTTAAATTAAAGACATATTCTAAACATTGTGGGTAATTAAAAATGATCATTTCGTGTATATACTTCTAAAAAAAACAAAGAATAATGTTGTTATGTAGGAGAGAATTACTAAACTTATCTTTTAAAAGGCATGGCCTTTGATTTTTAGTTTTTTACCTCTTACCTTATAAGCGCTTTTCCCTCACTTTCCTCATTATAAATCATTTTTTTAGTACAATATTTTAAAGAAAATTGAAAAGTAAAAAGGTGAAGTAAAGGGGCGGAATCCTTGATTTTCTCTAAATTTAAAACAAAACTTTCGGGTAGCTAGGGAAAATTTACAGTACCATGCCTTTTTACAGATATATATCTGAACTAGTGGGGTATTTTTACGTACCCAAAAACTTCCCTTAAATTACCTCTTATTGCTGCCTTAAATTTAAGCAGCTTTAAGAGTACTTTCTTCTTTTTCTTTTTCTTTTACGTTATTTTTCCACATGTCCAACAACTCCAATAATTAGTATAACAAAATAATTATCCCTTAAAAGTTTTGAAACCACGAGACATGAAAGGGGAGAACTTTGTCGTACAACTTTAAATCGTCAAATGACAATAAAATTATATAAAATAAAAGAAGTTCACAATTTTAACAAAATAAAGGAAAAAAATTGTCAATCCAGAACCTACCAACATCAGTAAAGTATTCATTACCCTACCACAAAAAAAAAAAAAAAAGTCTGACAATTGCTTTGTCGTTTCCACATGATTACTAGTACCATAGTTCCACTAGTAAAAAAGGCATGCATGTTACTGTATATCATAAAGCTATATAAATATATATATATATATATATATATATTATAGTCGCTAGATCGAGCTTGTAATATATAGATTAGAATTACATGAAGCTTGAGAGGGAAATTAATGGACTTTTTGAAATTAAATTTACCTCAATGGAGATCTTAGGTGGGGGTGGTCTTGTAGCAATATAGAAAACAAGCAAAGCAACACTCAAGCTCACCAAAAATCTACAACTTATTTGCAAACAAATCCACATAGTTGGATCCGAATTCTCATAAGAGCAGCTCCTCTTCCACAAGCTACTTTTCTCTCCATAGTAATACTGATCCTCATCATGATCATCATGGTGGTCAAGGATAGAACTAGTACTATCCACGATGATCAGGCGGTTCAGATCTGTGTTATTAATTATCTCGGTCTCGGTCTCATGGCTACGAGCGTCGTAGGAGATCTTCTTGTGGTGCAAATTGAAGGAGTTGTTGGATCCACGAGAGGAGGGGGAGTAGTCGTGGCGGAGGATTATCGGGGTGGCCGTGTCGTGTCGGGCTGGGGAGTGGAAGGTGGACTCGGCGGCAGCGGTGCTGTTTCTGTTGTGATCCGGGTTGGAGGAGTAGACGGTGTAGGGGCTTTGAACAAAGTATGCATGATAATTAGGGTAGGAGTGGAACAAGCTGCTTGTTTCTTGGTGGTCTTGATCACCGCCTGCATGATGATCATGATCATCGGCTGCATGATGATCATGATCATGATGGTGATGGTGATCCATTCGTATTCGTTATTGGTGAATATATATCACGCACATAGATGCAAAACAGAAGAAATCTAGAAAGGTTTTGGTCAAGTGGTACGTAAAAAAAGAAAAAACCGTTTAAGGGTTTTGGAGGGATTTGTGTGTGTGTGTGTGTGTGAGAGAGAGAGAGAGAGAGAGAGAGAGAGAGAGAGAGAGAGAGAGAGAGAGAGGAGATATTGATGTAGTGAGAAAAATGTTGAGGCTTATAAGAGTGAGACTCTCTCTATATATATATATATATATCAATTAGTTACTTGCCTGATCGATCCGATCCAAGACTACTGCTAGTATTGCTTTTTTGAATATTACTTGCCATAGTAATAGGGCTTTGCTTAGTAGTAAAGGTTGAAAAATGATGAGTAGTTCATGTACATATTTACGATATCAAGAAATTTTGTATAAGAAAATCATTTCACCATTATATTGGCACGCATGAATACAGAAAAGAAGTTGAATATTTTTATGCTCCTATGCAATCTTCAGTCTACGTACATACTGGATTGAGGTACTTGTTGTAGGGTAGAAATTCCAAATCTTAATTTGGACATTAAATGGGATTCACGCGTCATAAATGAGGACATTTAATAATTGGAGACAACTTTACCTTAAGCTGTCACGTCAGACAAAGGTTCTTTTGAGAGTAGAATGCAAGTAAAGTGGAAAATGTACAAAGGCGGTCAATCGCTCCAAGGGGTCAATGAAAATAGGAAGTTGATCGCACCAGCAGTTGTAAGCTAAGAAGTCAATTCCACGCATATAGAGAGAGATACGGGGCCTGCCCTGAGATTTGTGACTTGTAATTAAAATAAGCAAAGTAAGTGGGGAAGTAAGTGAGAAAATCCTGTTGATTTGCAGAAATCCCAACCAACTGAGGATATTATCCCAAAATAAGAGAATTTACAGAGAGAGCAGAGGGGTATATATATGGAAAGGACAAATTGAGAAAAACATTATGTAATTATATTTTTCAGAATATAGTGAATTTCTCTCATTCTCACAGTAGACATAGCTCTTAAACAAAGGGTGAACCATTATAAATTTGTGTGTTCTTGTTTTTTAATTCTTCTTAATATTTTTTAATCGCTTTTTAGAACACTAAAAATCACGTTATCTATCTTTCAATTTAATATATTCTTGTTGACGATGATGAATTTCTACCGTCAACAGTACTTATAGCATTATATAAGTCAATGTGTGAGTTTATTATACGTAGAGAAATACTAGGTGTACTAACTTTCTAACTTATGAATAAAAGAATAACTATTAACTTAATAATATTACTCTAAATTTATGTATGTATAAAAAAGGGAAGAAAATACAAAAGGCAACTTTAGAGACCTTGGTGAATTATAAGCGATGGAGCTCATGAGTGGAGCCGGATAAGTAGTAGTACTAGACAATGAGAAATCTAATCCGAGAATTATGGGAGAACCTCTTTTCTTTTGTGCATTTGAAATTGCTTTACACCGAAATGTCTCTATCTTTTTACATCTTAGGCATCATAACAAAGTAAGCACGCTTTGCCCTTCCTTCATTTATTAATCGTGTATATGTCTCCCTTTATCTTTCATCCCAAAGGACATAGATCTAAGCAAATTAATTTTGACTATATTTTAATAAATATAATATACATGTACACTTTCAAAGTACTATGGCCTAGATCTGCTAGCTAGCTACCTAGTTAATTGACACAACTCAAATATTGTCATTGCAATATCCATCTATGTATTTTATTCAAATATATAAAACTAGCTAGAATTATTTACTATCTAGAGAATTGATTTTGAAGCCTTAAAACATATATCAATCTAGGGGATATGTTGCAAATATATTCTTAAGGTTGTGTGAGTTTCAAGGCTTTCATCGCTTGCTAATTATTATAGGGCTCTTAATTATGTTATTTTTCCAACCAAATTCCAGTCATTGATGGAATGTATTAATCAAAAGGACTAGTATGCATAATGATCTTAGTTTTTTAATTCTAGTAATGGGCAGAGAGAGTAATAAGCACTAAATTAAACTGCAAAATTAATTTAAACATAATATTGCTTTCTATCAAAGGGAACAATGGATTGAAATAGAAGGGTGTGGCAATGTATGATCATGATGATTCTAAGGTAACAGTGTCTAGTGACCAGAATAATATATATATATATATATATATATATATATATATATATGTGTGTGTGT